TATATATATATTGATTGACATTATAAAAAAAAGCATCTATGAAAAAAAAAAACAAAAAACACCACATAAAAGTGATTACTTACTCTTTCTTCAGATGAAACTGTGGATGATGTTCTTGGTAGTAACTGGCAATTTCTGCGCATGAAATGTACGAGCGAGCGCATAAGAATCGACCACGTACCGAGCGATTCTCCATGCAAAATACATGGGCTTCGCAGACATCATCTATGTGTACTATTGGTATTTTTCCAAGCAATTCTTCCACGTACTTCATAAAACCGTATTGTATCTCCTTGTTTGTGAGCTGAGAAACCAACACTGCCACGCTACCGGGTACGAATGATAAAAGTGTATCCCCTCCAACAAGGCCACAGGCGAGGGTTACCACCTCAAATGGGTAACAATTTTTGTCCCCAAAGCTCAATATTTCTTTCTCCGTCAGTGTTTTTGAGTCTTGGTAGTCCTATTATAAAATAGCACAAGTATATATGTACGAGCATTGTCTCAATTTAGACTTGTGATCTTTTTTATTTTATTTTATTTTATTTATTTATTTATTTAAAGAACCAAAGAGAGAAGACAACTGGTATCAGAAACAATTAAAAAATACGAACTAAATTGACAGCCACTTATTAGTCACTCGATCTTATACCAAGACTCCAATATTATTAAAATATATAGAAAGAAAACTAGGAAATCTCAAGAGTAACCAAAAATAAGAGCAACAACGTAACTGATCAGGCAATTCAAAAACAAAAGTATTAGGAGAACTCGGCGGAATTGAGGAGAAAGATAACTAATCTTAACCTAGTATGTAAAAAAAAAAAAAAAAAAAGTCATCTTAAATAAGAATAAAGTAATTAAAATAATTACCTTAAGAAAATCATTACTATAAGGAATTGATAGATTCAAAGGCGTCCAACATGTTTCATCCATGAATTCCTTGAAAACACTTCCATCGTCTTTGAGTGGAGATGCAGCAACCACAGTGCCTGTGTAGATTAATCGCTTCACTGTTCCTGATCTTACACAAGACATTGCTATGCTCTTTGCCGCCGCAATCGTAGCTTCAGTCGTGTTCTCAAACTGATTAATTTCAGTCGTGATATAGAAGAGAGACAGACTAATTAGTGACATTCAAGAAATTAATTAAAATATTTTTTATTCATTATATATATATATGAAGAAAATTACTTGTACGTTACTTAGTAACATTTTTTCTAAGGTCAATAAAATTTCTAAAGACAAGGCCGTAATGAAGGAGCAAACCTGAGAGCCCTCAGTGTGGTGCAAGGGAGTTGCAACATGGAAGACGAATTCGCAGCCATGAATCGCACTCTCGAACTCGCCTGGGTTGTACATGTCGGCTTTGAACAGCGCTAACCTTGCATCCGCGCCCGGAAAGCTCTTCAGCAGGCTCACCTTGGACACATCATCTGAGCAAAAAATATTTCTCAATTTATTATATATGTTCTTGTCATATATAACAAGAAACAGGAAACACTACAGTAAAGGAGATAATTATAGAGATCAGAAATTGAAAGAAATAAATGTACCCAAGTTCCTTAGAGTCGCATGGACTGTGTATCCTCTGTCTAAAAGCTTCTTGACGAGCCAAGAACCAAGATAGCCAGCACCTCCAGTAACGCATACTTTGCAGCCATTACTCTTCTCCATGTTGCGAAAAAATAATGTGTAATGATCTCCTTTCACATCAAACTACACCTTTATATATAGTAAACACAATTCCATTTGATATGCGCTACTTAATTTGGCTAAAATTATCACTTTTTATTTTTTTTATTTTTTATGATATCATAGATATATATAAGTTAAACATTTCTTGGTACGTTTAATCTCATTGAAATTCCTCACTTTTCTTAAAATATACTTGAGAGGTGGAGTTGAGACAAACAATTACTTGTCCTCAGCCTTTGTTCTCACTTCTGACTCTCGGCAATGCATTTGGTATAAATTTGTCGGTCGGCATGTAGAGCCATGATATGCATAATTGTTTTTCATGATTTTCCTTTTTTATTATTTAAGAAAGCCCGTTGTCCGAGTCGTATTTGTTTTCTAGTCCTTGAATTTTTGCGACTGAGAGATACATTTTGCCGAATGTTTGGTGATAATATTTCTTCTTTTTGCCAAAGAAAAGAAAAAAAAATCTCCCGATGAGTTAGCCAAATCTATAATGCAAAGTTTCACGTTTTATTTCTTTTTTTTTTTTCCTTCTTTTTTCAAATCCTTGATTATGTCACTCGTAAGTGTTAATAATATTGCTTTTTAATCGGGGTCTCTCATGGTAAATTGAAAAAAAAAAAAAAATGCAAGTATATAAAAACTTACAAATTTATCATCCAATTGAAAAGCATTTCTAATCGTGTAGTGTCCATCATAGCTCCTGCACACAGACACACATATATGATCACATGATTTTATCTTTTTTTCCCCCCTTAACTAGAGGTGGACGAGATTTGAACTCCATAGATTAACACTACAACAAATATCATTATCAATAGCTGACCAAAAACGCTATTAAGCACTACTAATAGCGTTTTGTGAAGCGCTAGGACATCAGACGCTATTAAAAGTCCTAAGAAAACATAGCGTTCTAAGAGCGATAAAAAAAACGCTATAGAATTGAGGTCTTATAGCGTTTAAGACATTATTTTCAACATCTTACAACTATTTAGCATGACTACGGTACAGATCAATAGCTTTTTTTTCTTATTATGTTCATACTCTTGTAGCTTTTTAAAATTATTATTGATGTCCTTTTGAATTCATTCAAATAGATGGTGATTCCGAGCAACATCTTACATCCAAATCGGAACATTCAAATTAAAACATAAAAACATTCAACGTATCAATTGTTATCAGTATCTATCAAGTTGGCAATAAGATTACGTCTACAACATAAGTCATACAATGTCTAAAATCTTAACATTCAAAACAAGTAAAGAAAACATAGGAATAGCTAGAGATATCAAAGTATCCAAAACGTCTAGCTAAATGAAATGGTGAAGTAAATCCTTCCATCTTGACAAAAAAGTCATCTCCATTGTTTAACCTGTAAGAAAGTAATCCACTATCAAAACAATAATCAAATTCAGCTAAAACTTTCACTATTTAACCTGTAAATAAAGCAAGGACTAGTTACACTATTCACAACTACATAGCCACATCCACATATGTTTTGCAGTGAATTAGAGGAAACATGGCTTCAATGATGCACTAGGCAAAAATTTAATGTCAAACTTGTAAAAAAGAGAGTATCTTACATGTATTGTTATGTAGATAGAGAGATCCTACAAAGTAATCATAGGAGAAAAGGTTAAAGTTAGAGACCTTCTGCAATAATACAAAGTAATCACAGGGAGTGTTTGCAACATTATAATCAAAGCTTCCATTGATAAACATCATACAACTGAACAACAGAACAACTTTTACTATAAAGGCAGAAACTTGTGAACAAGAGCACTTGAGTTTCCCAGGACACTAATAACAAGTGCCTATGAGTTAACTCATATTTCATCTTGATTGCCAAGTAACAGCACAATTAAAATTCTAATGTCCAAAGTAGGTCACATTTTCAATAATGGACACACAATCATGAGAGTTAGAGATAAAGGAATACTAACCTTTGAGAAGCTACGACAAAATCTTTAAGAAACTACACTAAAGATTATAGATGCTTCACGGCTACACTTAAAACAACAAATAAGACAAGGCACCGCAACACCAATTTAAACATGTGTGGCAAAATAAGCAAACGTTAGCACTTGTCACTAAATAAACCATTCACAAGTTAAAACTGCAAAGAATTTCATTAATCAAAGCAAGAAATTCATTATCACAACAAAAGATTTAGCAAGGAACCCAATTAACAAAAAGAATCCAAAAGTACATGAGCAAATAGTACAGAGCCATCTTAAAAAATGATAAAGATAAAAGTCTCTAAAGAACCTTAACAAATAAATATCAGTCGTATGCAACATATAAAGCACAAGTCCAAATACCAAACAAACAAAGGGGAAAAAACAAAAGATTTCGTGTGATGATAAAGCTTACCTTAGCCACACTCCTATTTTCACGAGTCCAGATTCCAAAGATCATGTATACATCTCTATGGGTGTATACAACACATAAGGCTGTATAAGAAAGTCCAAAGACCTTTAGCTTCAAAGTTCAACAATATAAAAGAGTAACCAAAACGTCTTAAAATCCCTAACTTTATAACTGGTTTTATCTTGATTGTTATGCTTGTACATAGAAGACCTTACTAAGGGAGCAAATTCAATATTATGAATGAATGCAACAATCAACAGAATTTAACTCCAAATGAGCTATGGATGCATAATATTAGCCCAAAAGCAAGAATGGCATAATAGTAACACCATTTTTTTATCAACTTAAGTAAAATATAAGAATAGAAAACTTCATTAAACCTGAGGCAAATGACAACTAGCTTCCGTTTCTTGTTCCAGTCCAACAACGGGGACGTTATCCTGTCTTTCTCCTGCCGTGGAAGGACTTCAGCCAGCAGTCTACCCATTCTTCTCCAAAATTTAGAGCAACCACAGTTTAGAGTAAACAAAAATAACACCCAAAATGGAAGAGGTCATAATTCTCATCAAATAATGTACTTACAAAAACTCACCCAACACAATAAACGCTCTGAAAATCAAAATGACCCTCTCGAAGCACATTATGCAGTAGCTGCTGCTCCCTTGCTCCTCGGAGTCGCTTGTGTACCTATTAAAATTAGAACTTCAAATGAATAATGCACTGATATACTATTATATATGATGTTGAATTTTAAAAGTACACCAAATAGTCAAATACCACCTTCACTATATAATTCACTAATCCATACAATAAGGAAAGTAATCAATCTATAATATTGCTTTCAACTTACCAACTATTTGTTCACAATATACGAAGTTCAGAGCAAGTCTAGAAAGCAAAAGAACCAAAAGCTAGCTAGCTATTAGAGGGAATGTGACTAGTCGTCAAATTTTTCATAAGTTAGAAGTTTTAAAAATCTTCATTCATTTTGAGCTCCAACTTTAGCAAAACTACATCCAACAACTGAACAAATTATCGATTGACCTGTAGGAAATAACAAAAGCCAACAAAATAACAAATGAACACATGCTAAATCAAAAATCCAAAAAAAGTTTCTAGGCAACTAGTAGAAGGTAAGAGCATTAAACCTATAAGATTAAATGACAACAGATTGACGGATAAGCAAAAAACTTATTTGAGTCGATCTACCATTCCCTTCAAAACCAAAATCCCAGAACATGATCAAAGTAAGCAACTTTAGAAATTACCCCTCTTACGATAGCATACAGGTCATGACTCATGTGTCAACAAGATACTTACTAGGTCAGGAAAATGTGAGCCTATTGAAACCAACAACCAAGATGCAGCTCTTTGCCAGTCAGTGCTTAGTGCCTAAAATAGCATTTCAATGAATCACGAGAGCAGTTTCATGAATTTTTCACTACACATTAAATCTAAAAGACCCAAATGCCAACAAGCAACTAGTTAAGTATAGACTACTTTTGACTCTAATCACACCATCACAGAATTAAAATCAAACAAGAGCTAACATAGTAATAAACTGCCAACATAGCTTCAAAAAGAATACTCCTACAAGTACAAATAAATCAATCAACTGATAATCAAATCCATAATTCATTCCCTTTCGGCTTTACCTTGGAGGAAATCATCTCGGCCGTGGCAATCTTAGCAAGCTTAGCCATGAAAGAAGGATCAAGATCCTTCTTGTCCAACACCCGAGCTCCAAATGCCATTACTTGAAAAACACCAGCCATGTTCCCAAAGAGCTAAAAAAATCAAAAATGGAGGAAAAAAAGAAAAAATAATCAAGACGACAGAAGAACGGGAAATGATGAGAAAACTGAACCCAAATTCCATAGACCAGAAAATCACCCGACGTCCTCCTGGTGAAACCGCCGAGCAACAGTCAAGAATCAGAACCAGATTCCTAGAATCGAAAAAACTCTATTAATTAATTCCAAAACTTCAGAATTCACTGTAATCATGCGTAATTATAATGTATATGAAAATATATATGGAGAGAGTACAGAGCGGCAATTTCCTCGAGAGAAGCCATGGAGGCCTTTCTGACCATGGGAGATTCATCGGCAAGAGAAGAAACCAGAACCTGTACGGCCTCTGAGAACAGAGAATTCGAACACGAACGAACAATTCAAAGATCAAATGGCGGTGGAAGAAAACTGGAAGCGAAAATGTAGTACACGAATTCAACAGCAATACAATTCATCGAATTCAACTGCTCTACACCTTTGGGAGTGAAAATGCAAAACACGAAATTTCTAAATAAAACAGAGAAATGGAGAACAGAGAGAGAGTGAAATGTGAACCTCTTTGGGTAACGGAGCTTGGAGTAGGAAGAGAGCTTCACGGGCCTTTGATCTTCCATCTACGACCTAATCTTCACAAAATCACGTCCATATTGGGTAGTTTTCTACGATTTAGGGCTCGGATTCAAAGCGAAATTAGAGCTTAGATGAGGGAGGGGAACCAATGGAGGCTCATGGGCGGCGAGATTGAGCGACGCGAACGATAGAGAGGAAGCAATGGAGGCCTCTGTTCTAGAGTGGGGAAAGCTTTTGTTCGTATGGGAATTTGAGTAGCAAGCAGAGCAAACAAAAAAAGAGTATATACAATAAACTAGCTAAAATTTCATAAACTTATATATATACATATTATAACTATTTTGAAACGCTATTATGTATAGTTGAAAAAACCTTTAATAACGGTTTTTTAGAAACGTTATAACTAACAGTTATAAAAAGCGTGTTCTGCGTAGTAAAGTAACCGGTATCAAGTATAATTAAGTGTTAATTTAGCATTAAACTATGATAAAATTTTTGTTGGCGGCTAAATTATCATATAAACATATGCTACTCAATTAGCTAGGATTACCCTATCCAAGAAAACAAGAAATCATCAAGATTAGTGCTTTTGACAACAACGTTTTTTTTTCCCCCCTTTTCTTATAATTCATTTGACAACAGCTCATAATGTCCGGTATATAAACATTTATATATGGGGAGAGAGAAATGACCCATTAAATTTAGAATCTACCCAAACACTATTTATTTATCAAGAGAGTAATGACACATTAAATTTAGAATCTACCTCAACGCTATTTATTTGTCAAACTTGGTCTTGGCTACCGCCGACTAGACACTAACTAGATGAATTTTTGCATATATGAAAACAATACGACATAGAGTTTAACAGATCATAAAACTGTACTCTTTCAATATTATTATTTGAACAGACAGCAAGAGAGTACTAAAAGGAAGGGGACAAACAAGTTGTGGTATGGTTTCGGCGTCATTAAGTAATTAAATAGAGAAGCTATATAATTGTATGTAGGAATTATCAAGAAGTTGCAGCAAATATTACTATATAGTATATTGAAGAGAATAAAATAAGCCAAATGTAACAAGTCGATCTGATAAAAACAAAAAACTTTAATCGATATTTGACCTATGTACTTCTTTATAGGAATTCACCCGGTGCGCGTTGTCTTTTTGCCAAAACTTTCACCGTTTCAATTAATGGATGCAAATTTAGTTGGAATGTATACTAGTTGTCTTTATATTAGTTTTCCTCTCTCGTTATTTACTGAAAAGAAAAAAAAAAGAAAAAAAAAACTCTGGCCGTTTGAACGCAGGAGTGAGTGACTTATTTCAAAATTTACCTACCATTTGGCGCGATATATATATATATATATATATATAATTTTTGAAGTGAGAACCTTGAAGGTCTCAATACATAATATGTTTAAATAAATGAGGAGAGGAAATAATTAACCTCAAAGGACTCTTAGCGAAAGCCAACTAGATTGGCACCCATTGAAGAAATTTTTTCCACACTCAGCTCCAAATCAAATTAACCATAATATATATATATATATATATATATATATCGCATTCTCTTGGTTTATGCCAAGGTGAAATATATATACTTAATACCGTTAGATTAGTTTAAATCACAGAAGCCAACGCGTAATACATTAACCAAGTTTACAAACCTCAATCTCTGAATAGATCAAACATGATACAAAGCTTGAAGTACAATACAAACAGTAAAAATAGAAGTTTGGTTTGACAAGTTAAAGGAGAGCAGAAAAGAAAAAATAAAAAAAATAAAAAACAAAACAGAGTTTTATATTACTAGAGATCACCCAATCTCTTCGCACAACTAATGCTATCATCCAATATCATCTTGGCGTCGTACTTGTATACAAAGCCCTTCTCAATAAGCTTTGAGGAATCTAACGCAATTTTCCTCTTTGGCCCCTCCAAGTACCTGAAACATCAAAACCCAAATACATAGTGCTTTTTCTTAAACCGTGATTATATTTTAAAAATAACTTACATGAAAAATGAAAAATTTATTTAATTGTAGGTATAGTCTAATAGAGAATTAAATTAATGTATTTAATTGTAATTATCTCTCCTAGGATTCTCCTCTAAATAGGATATTCTGTTAATATATTCCCTAAGCTACTTACCCGATTTTGTTAGATTTGTTAATATTAGTTACCGGATTTTTGTAACTGATTGATTCTCTTGTAATCCTACAAATACCTCCTAACATCAATGAAAAGGAAGATATATCATTTCATTATCTCATATAGTCTACCGGTAATTTCTGATCAAACTGCATCATAAAGTGTAGAATTCTAAATTTCATACCCCCACATTCAAATAAATGAATAAATAGTAATAATACTTAAAATCAATTACTTACTCTTTCTTGACATGGAATTGTGGATAATTTCGTTGATAGTAGCTAGCAATTTCCACGCATGAGATGCAGGAGGTAGCGCATAAGAATCTGCCGTGGATGGAAGGATTCTCCATGCAAAATATATGGGCTTCACACACATCATCTATGTGGATAATAGGCACCTTGCCGATCAATTCCTCTAAGTACTTGAGTGAATTGTAATAGACTTCATTGTTTGTTAGCTGAGAATAAAACATTGCCGTGCTAGCCGGTGCGAAAGGCAAAACTGTTTCTCCTCCGACAAGGCCACACGCAAGGCTTACCACCTCCAATTGGCCGCCACTTTTGTTGCCCAAGTAGTGCTCCAATAGTTCTTTCTCGGCTAGAGTCTTTGAATCTTGATAGGCCTATATTTAAACAGTACACAATGTTTGGAAAAAATATATATGAGCGTCTCAAGAGATTTTATTTTTGTTATGGAGCCAATTAGCTGCTGTTACATAACAGCCGGGTTGAGCCGATCTATCTTGGGTTTGGTAAAAGAAAATTTGTAATATTTTATTTCATGTTTAAGCATGTCGCATTATGTAGATCTTTAAACTACTATAAGATGGTTATTTTATTTCATGTTTATATTATGCTTATATTATAAATAAATTTTAGTTGCGGTCGACATAGACATAACCTGGCATAGTTTGACTGTAAATCAACACCCAAGTATAACTTGAGGTGCAGAGTTAAAATCACCTTCTTCCAAGTTCAAACGTATTATATAATGGTATGACATGTAAACATATCATAGGACAATAGGTTTAATAAGGCCAAGTGTTAGCTTAGAATGGTATTACTTAAACAAACACGATGCGTCTGACTCTGCCTAGAACTAATTTTATTTTAACAATTTATGTAGCAATCAAATATATTTCTCGAAAGCAGCTTGAATCTGTAATGAGAGTTAAAAAAAAAGTTGTAATACAAGAGAAACAACATAGAAACGACAAAATACAGTTATACTACTTCATTGAAAAGAGCAAGAGATGATTAAACAAGCTTATCTTTTTAGTCTCCCATAAGAGAATATTAAACAAGCTTATCTTTTTAGTCTCCCATAAGAGAAAGTGACTTAATTATTTTTAGTTGATCAATCTCCGCAAGAAACACTTAGATATTAATTAAACACAAAAATAATCATCAAAAAATTAGTAATTAAACAATTTTTTTTTTTTTTTTTTTACCTTGAGGGCATCATTACTGTAAGGAATTGGGATATCCAACGGAGTCCAACAGGTTTCATCCATTAAGTCCTTAAAACCACTCCCGTCGTCTCTCAATGGAGAAGCAGCAACCACACTGCCTGTGTAGATTAGTCGCTTCACGGTTCCCGATCTCACACACGACTCTAACATGCTCTTTGCCCCGGCTATTGTGGCCTCAGTCATGTTCTTGTACTAGTAATTTAATAAGTCGGAAAATATATGTGTAGAACAAACATATCATGACATATTTAATTATATATTGGAGTGAAATAATATATTAATTATGTTAATCAAGAGCAAATTAAAAAGTTACGTACCAGATCCGATCCACGGGTGTGTTGCAAGGGAGTTGCGACGTGGAAGACATATTTGCAGCCTTGAATGGCATTCTCAAATTCATGTGGTTTGTAAATGTCAGCTTTGAACAACACCAATCTTTTCTCTGCGCCAGTGAAGCTCTTCAGAAGTCTTACCTTGGACTCATCACCTTTGATACACCCAAATTAGAATGTTATTAACACACCTATACAGAGATCTAGAGAGAGAGAGTGAGAGATCTAGAGAGAGAGAGAGTACCCAAGTTCCTTAGAGTTGCATGAACAGTGTATCCCTTGTGCAAGAGCTTGTTGATGAGCCAAGAAGCAATATAGCCCGCACCTCCGGTGACGCATACTTTGCATCCATTCTTCTCCATTGTTGCAAATCGGTCTATGCGCGCATGATCCACTTTTATATTATAATGTATAACTATTTGGTTATTTATATAGATCAGCCATACTTGGCATGGTTGAATTAATTAATAAAAAAAATTATAAAAGTCTAATTACTCAACAGAACTTTCATATATAATTATAACTGAAAAAGATGGTTTGAGTTGGGAATATCTAGAGAAAATCATCATACGTAGACCTTGTCTGGAGGAGGGAAAAGTAATTGGATGGAGAGGGGTGAGGGATCAGCGAAGTGATTTTGAAGTCATAGTTGTTTAGTAGGAGAGAAGATAGAAAGGAATAAATTAGATGGGAATTTTTAAATTGTTTTAAAAAAAAAAAAATAAAAAAAAAATAAAAACTTTTAATTTATTCTCTCTCAAAATGAAAGAATTATATATAGTCGAGAATCTATACCAAACACAATAAGAGCTTGTTTTACAGCGTGAAAAAGTGAGAGGAGGAACATAGGTGGAGTATTAGTGGAAGAATTTTGGGAGATGCAATTGTCTGATAGGAGCGAAAGGAGGAGTAAATAAATTGGATGAGGTATTTAAAATTCTTTTAAGGGACTGCAATTATAAAAATGGATAAGAGAAGAAAATCGTGCGAGATACAATAAGAGCTCATTTGGTAGGAGCGGAAAAAGTGGAGGGATGGAAAGGGGTGAGAAGATACCTACAAGGATTTTGGTACTTATGGTTGTTTGATAGGAGAGAGAGAGAGAAAGCTATGAATTAACTAAAGGATTTTTAAAAGAAATCCCAATTCCAATCTCACTTAATATATAGAGTAATTACACTAGGAAGAAATTCATACCAAACACATTAAAAAAAAAAAAAAAAAAAAAGAGAGAGATATTCTCCCCCCTCTCTATTTTTCCTCACTTTGATAGTTTGATTTTATGATTTTCTTTTCTCTTCTTATTTTCATCGATCTTACTAAACAAACCCTTAATTATTGAATTCCAATAATGCAATGCTCAGCTTTTATATAATGCCCATATGAAACGCGCGATTACTATATGCATCACATGATGCTTATTTTATTTTTTTTGTTTAAATGTGAAAGAACTCCAAACGAATAAAGTATGCATAAGCTATAGCGTGCGAGTTTCAACTCGTATTCTGGAAATAAATAAACTAACATGTCATTTGGTTTATATCTAATAAATAAACAATAGTTACTATGAAAGTTTCAACGATTCATATAAAGAACGTCACGTGAAGTAGTACCACTAATAAAATGTAGACTCCACGTATGAATCTCACTCTTTAGTAGAGGGTGGTGCTTAACGCTGTCAGCGCGAAATCTGTGCCATGTGGAGAAGTAGAAAACTTGCTGGAAAAAAAGGCATAAACAAAAGAACAGTTGCTTGCTTACTCTTGCGTGACGTGAAACCAAGGATAATCTGTTGAAAGTATCTAGCAATTTCAGCAGATGGGACAAACGAGCTTGCGCATAAGATTCGACCTCGGACGGATGGATTCTCCATGCAGAAAATATGGGCTTCGCAAACATCATCAATGTGAATTAATGGCACTTTTCCCATCATCAATGTGAAAGTATCAGTATACAATTTGTATGTGCATTAAATGGATATCAAGATAATTTTTTTAAATGATTATTTTGATGAGAAGATCTATATGAAATAACCCGAAGAATTTGTATTGTCTGTAAATGAGAATAAGGTTTGCAAGTTAGTCAAATCACTTTATAGATTAAAGCAAGCACCAAAACAATAGCATGAGAAATTTGACAATATTATTTTATCTCATGGTTTTAAGCATTATAATACGGATAAATGCATATATTCTAAATTTAAAAATGATTTTGGTGTGATTATATGTTTGTATGTTGATGACTTGCTTATCTTTGGAATAAACGTGCATAGTGTTAATGACACTAAGAAGTATTTAATTTCACAATTTAAGATGAAAGATCTTGGTGAAACAGATATTAGCTTGGGTGTAAAGGTGAGGAAGCATAGTGGGGATTACTCGTTATGTCAATCTCATTACATTGAGAGTGTGCTTCTTAAAGTTAATAATTTGAAGTTTAAAAAAGTAAATACTCCATATAATTCTAGTATTAAATTACTAGAGAATGAGGGTCGAGCGATAGCACAACTAGAGTATGCTAGTGCGATTGGAAGCTTGGTGTATGCTATGAATTGTACAAAGACCGACATAGCTTTTGTGGTGGGCAAAATGTATAGATTCACGAGTAACCTAGGTGTTGAGCATTAGAATGCAATTGGTAGAGTACCTGATTATCTTAGAAGAACCATTAATTTGTGTTTGTCTTGTAATGATTATCTGACGATACTAGAAGGGTACTTAGATGCAAGTTGGATAACAAGTACTAGTGATAATAAATCCACCGGCAGTTTGGATTTTCACAATTGCAGGAGAAGCCATGTCATGGGCTTCAAAACAACAAACTTGCATAAGTCACTCAACAATGGAGAGTGAATTTATAGCACTTGCCGCTGAGGGCGAAGAAGCGGAATGACTGAGAAATTTATTATTAGATACTGAGTTGTGGCCTCAACTGACGCCATCTATTTCTTTATACTGTGATAGTGAAGCTACTTTGTCTAAAGCTTATAACAAGGTTTTAAAATGGAAAGTCTGGACATATTAGCTTGAGGCATGAATATGTGAAACAATTGATAACCGATGAAATTATCAATATTGTTTATGTTAGAACTAATAAGAATCTAGTGGATCCTTTGACGAAAGGCCTTTCGAGAGACTTAGTCAAGGAAACATCTAGTGGAATGAGATTGAAACCTTTCTTTGAAAAGAGTCACCAATGATAGTATCCCAGTTATGTAATAGTTGTACTACTATTTCATAGCTAAATAGGTAAAAACAAGTCATTATTATGTGATCGAGTTAGTACCAAAACATTTATTAGTCCCTTTTAGGACGTCGGTACAAAATAGCTACGTGGTTGAGATTGAGTTTATACTTTTAATGAAATTTGAGTCTCATAATAGCGCGCGGCCTACACTGCTCTCGGGTTTGTTGGTTCAGGCATGAGCGCTGCAGTGGATAAATATCCACTGCAGTGGATTTTTCTACAGTAACCTAATTTCGAGTGTTTTGTGATCTGAAATGTTCTAAACTTGTGCATCTATTAGTGATATGTTTTTACACATTTCTGAATACCTATGAGCAACAAAATTAACTGTTATAATAGGTGGTTTAATTCATGAAAAGATACCATCATAATGAAGATGTATCTTTAAGTGAAAGGTTGTGTTGCTTAAGATGGTTGTGTTGTTTCATTAAATGGCACTTTTTTTTTTATTAATTCTCCAGAAAATTTACAGACATTCATTCTTGTTCTGAAACATCATATTATTTTTGGATATTGTGTTTAACGAATTGTTGTATCCTGATGGTATTTTGTTATTAAACTCTTTAGTAAACCTTAAGAAGTGAGGGCAAATAAAACCTTAAAATGAATGCATTCCTCATACGCCTCAAACCGAGAATTGTTTCCATTCTTTTCTTCCTCTAAACACTCAAATTCTCTAACATGTGGTTCAGCCATGGTGATTTTTTAGATTTGTTTTTGAAAATTGAAAGGAAATGGGAAAGGAGAGGAAGGTTTATATAGAGTGAGACAGGCTAGTGACTATGTATATATTTAGTACCTACTTCGTTGGTGAGTTGTGTTAAATTCTCATGATCGATTTTCAAGTTTTCAACTATGGTAGAAAGGGAAACTCTGGAGAAGGAATTTTATTATTATTATTATTATTTAGAGTTGTTGCAGCTATTTTCTACATATTTTGATGGGTCATAATATTAATAAATGGGTGCGTTTGTGCCGTGTGGCGGACATGTGTGGGTATTATTTATAATTCGCCTGAAAAAGCATATCAATCATGGCACGTTTGAGAAGTGATTTCATGTCTTATGTGTTGGGCTTGTGGCTTAAATTGAGCCCATAAACATTGTTTTGTTTTTGGTTTGGGCCAAGGCCCATAGCTTTCCCTATCAGCAAGCCATGCCGACATTTACCTAAGCATATACATTGATATATGCATATGGTTTAGCAGTAGCAGCCGCAAGAGTGTACAGAGCAGCCGCACAATTTGGTTATTCCATTGATACACAAATTTCTCTCTTTTACTTCTTTGAGGGAGATTTAGTCAGAGATTATTTTTTTGATATTTGGTATTCTTGCTTTCGGCTTGAGAGATTTTGAGTGTATTTAGAATTTGGGTGGTGAGAGATTTTTGATAGGCTTTTGTAATCTCTTTTGGTTATAGTGGAATTTTTTCGTCATTTCTGTTCGTGGACGTAGGCCAAAAGCCGAACCACGTTAAATCCTTTTGTCTCTTGGATTTTTCTGTTATTCATATTTTGTTTTGAATCCGTTTAATTTGACGTTTGGCATAACAACTGGTATCGGAGCTATGGTTTATTCATCAAATTATTTTGGGTTTCTAGCTTCTGCAATGCGACGAGATATGAAATTATAAAATTCGACGAGAAGAATAAGCTTGAAAGTATATATATGACTATGTCTCTCACCAATCGGCTCTATCTGAAACAGTGTTTGTGCATTATTCGGATGTTACAAAATTTTGGGATCACTCATTCATGGCATTTGCGTTCGGGTCATGTGAGTAATATGGGGATGTCAGTTTTGACGCTTGTTGATGACTACGATGGTGTGCAATTTGGTGAGTGTTACGAGTTCTGCGATAAGAAGATAGTGAGACACCTTACTATTTGGGATTTGCCACAATAGTTGTTAGTCACATATAGTATGAATTCAACTCTCTTTGGGAAAGCTTGTTGTTTGCTTTCTATGTTTGGTTTTCCAGTCTGCTATTTAGTTAGGTCTCCATCAACTGCATTTAAATTGAAGACTTCATTTGAGGTATGGTTTGGATGCTCTGTTGATTTTGTTTTGAGTTTTAGTTGTTCTGTTTGTGCTCATGTGAATGATGGTAAGCTTGAGCGAAG